CCCCCCCCCCCCCCAACCCAGAAAATCCTAATTCTAAAATAAAATGGAAAACACTTCAAAATTAAAGATGCCAGTAAAGTGAGGGAGCGGAGGAGAAAAAGCGTCCCCAGCATTTGGCGGCAGCCATAACTCTCATCTGTTCCTGGTGCCTGTTGCCAGACGTTCAGCCAGGGATGCTTCGTGCCCAGTGGGGGACAGGAGGGCTTGCAGCAAGGCTGACCTTTGCTGCTCTAGATGCTCGGAGTGTCACGACCCGACAGCTCAGGCCTCAGATGCTTGCTGACAGCCAGCAACACCCGATACGTCGTCAGCCTCCATGTCAGCACCCCTATTATTTGTTACCTCTTGTGTTGCGTCGCCTGGGATGTTTAGCACTGGCCAGATCCTGGATGCGCTGGGTGCTGCGTAGGCACGGGATGCTGCGGCAGTCCCTGTGCGCAAGAACTGAGTGAGCGTGTGGAGGTGGGATGCTGAGGCTTGCGGGGGACCCCAGGAATGCTGGCTTCTCCTGCACTGTCTGTCTCAAGAGCATTGGATAGTTTCAGTGTTATGTTAGAGACTTCCCTAAGAAATTGAGAAGGGTTATCCTGACCGTTTGCAAGTGATCCTCACGGACCTCTCTGGTCTTTAAATTTCAAAGTGGCTTTCCAAAGAGCAGCGTGGTGGAGTTTGAAGGCGTGCTGTATGTTGTGCTTTCTGGTGCTCGGGGTCTGAGGGGTGGCACGACCTGGATTGAGGACTGTGCTCAGCAGCGCAGGGATCACTTGCTTGTTGGCTGTGTTGGTGGCCTGGGGTATGCAAGAGGCAGGCAGCGTGAGATTTGCCCTCTCTCCATAGGGTACGAGGCGCTGTCTCTCCCACCACACCTTTTCATGTCAATGCAGCGTGCATATGTCAAAACCGAAACTGCATACAGCTTCCCAGCACGATGGGGGCAAGCAAGAGTGCTTTATGTGTGACAGATGTTAATCACCCTAAGTCACAGTACTTGCATTAAACACACTTGGAACATACTTCTTTTTGAGATGGATCAGAGTCCCCCTCCCACCAGCAGTGCAGTGTAATAGGTGGGAAAATGCTGATGTGCCTTCCTCTTTTGACTCTTTTGATCTGCCCCTGCTCTGTCCCGAGCTCGTGTGGATGCCAGCCTGTACCAAAGCGGTCGTGACATACTGGGGACATGGCTGCATGTGGCAGAAGGAGCAGTGGCATGTGGCCTCTTTGCAGGAGGGAGTTTCAGCCCTGGTTATTAGCCGAGTGTTGCTCGGCAGATTGGTAGATGGAACTGAGGGGTTTGCTTGTCTGTGCTTCCAGATGACTTCTCCTTGTAATGTCATTCTGAAAGCTTTACAGGAAAGCAGTACATGATCTTAGCTAAAGTCCTTCTTTGCTTCTCTTCCCTTTTAATACATCTATCTGTTTGAGAGCTTGAAAGTCTTGTTGGGGGCAGCAGTGTTGACAGCCTAAAGGAGGATTGTAAAGTTGAGCTGAGCTGCCATGATCACTGGCCATTGCGTTTGACTCCACTTTCAGTTCCCTGCCCATTGCCCTCTAAGGAAAAGATGGGATTTTAACACATCTTCATTAGTCTGAAAGGCAATATGTTCTACTTCCAGAGAACTCCCCATTATGTATAATCAATTTTAAAGGCAAAAGTTAATGTGATTTATAATTAGCGATAAGGAATTCTAAACCTGGAATTACAGGCATGTGCATTAATGAATAATCCTTCTGTAGGCTTGCAAAATTTATGTCTGAGCTTGTATAGATTGCTCGTGCTGTGTAAAATGTGTTAACTTCTGGGTGGACTAAACTTAAAATAACATGTTTTTCTGTTCTCCGAGTAGAAGGGTTGAATTGTTCTGCAACTATATTCGCAAACACAATTTAAAGAGGATGTAGTGGGGAAGTTTAATTCCTAGCAAATTTTCGTAACTTATTTCTGTGTACATAATTTAGGAGCTTTGGGTACCTGATTTCTGTGCTTGCCCAGAGGCAGGCTGAATGAGCCCTTACGCCACAACATGCTGTTAAATTGGCAGAAATTTGGAATGGTAGAGTGACTTGCAGCAAAATTATTTTTGTGAGGCTTCACACAAACTCCTGCTTTCTGTTACAGTGGTGTAATTATTTTACTGGCCCTTGAAATGTGTATGGCAATTAATAGATCTAAAAGAAATATGTGCCCTGAGCAGTCTAACTGGGGAAAGACAAGAGGCGAGGGGATGATGCGCAAGTAAAACCGACAATGAGATGATTGGCAGCTGTATTAATAGCGTTATTTTCTATAAATAACTTTGATCTGAAGTCAGAAGTTTCTTGTCAAACACATTTGCATAATAGTATTAAGGCAAAATGTAATGCTGTGATTTTTTTTATTTCCCTAGACCAATCCATGACGCGGTTGAAAACGATCATTTGGAAATTGTCCGCCTGCTACTGTCTTACGGTGCTGATCCAACCCTGGCGACCTACTCTGGGAGGACCATCGTGAAAATGACCCACAGCGAGCTCATGGAGACCTTCCTCACAGGTACGTGGACATGTTGCTTGGGGCTCTACTGGCTGTGGTGAACATGGGGCCATTTCTTCTCCCCCCAAAGTCCCTGCTGCCCATTGGGATGGCTCCATGCTGCAGTAGCTCCCTCTCTGCCTGCAAAAACCCAGCGGCTGCAGCTGGGAAGTGTAGCCACGCATTGGGGCCTCCTTCTAACTGAAACTCTTAATAAGTCATAAGAATGATGCCACTATCAGATTTGTTAGGTAGGAGGTCAGCGATGCCTCCAGTTTTCTGCTTGAAATTAAAATAAGAAAGTTGCCAAATCAAATTGCTGTTTGTTGAACACAGTCATGTTTTCCCGTGGTCTTGCTTTTTATCCTTCTAGTACTTGTCTTTTTGCAAGTTCTGCCTCATTTTATATCTGAAAATCTGTAAAACTATATTAAAGCTTCTTGTCTTTAAACATGTTCATGTTCTAATGTGGTTTTAGTTTTTTTCCTGTTAGTTTTGGATAAAGACACTTGCATTCCCCAGTAGCTTAGCTCTGAAAATGTGCAAAGTTCATAGCGATGAGTTTAAGTACTCATACACTTACCTGTTCAAATGGTGCAGTGTAGAAAGCACATAGCAGGTGTATCAGGACTCCAGTAAAATCTAGTATCTTGGACTTCTTAGCGTCTTGAATGTCAGTATCAACTCAGCTAGCAAATCTCCCAAATTATGTTTGTGGAAAATAATTGCATCTTCTGAACGTATCTGTGTGGAAAAACCTTTTCCATCAGTTTCTTTGGGGCCGCTGTTTCACCCCCAAGTTGATGTCCTGAATTACTATGCAGGCTAAAAAGTGTGCTACATCCTATCTTTCACACAAATAAAATGCCGCTCTCAGTTACTGAAGCATAAGGTTGGGTCCATCCCTGTTAGACCGTGGGTGATTATTTGATGTGGTGGGTCATTATTTGATGTGATGGGAGAAGGGATGCAGGAGAAAAGCGAATTCCAGAAATATTTGCAAGAATGGTGTGTGTATATGCTGTTCTTTGTAGCATGTGCATCAGGAATATGGTGTGGGTTTTATTTGATGGAAGGTGTGGAGCGTGCATAGTGAGACTCTGCATGCCACACGGTCTGCTAAACTTGCCAGCTTTTTGTTCTCATCAGTATGTTTTTGTTGTTGTTTTTTTCTCTCCAGAGTATTTAACTGACCTGCAAGGTCGAAGCGTTGATGACCCTGGTTTGTACTGGGATTTCTATGGCAGCTCTGTGTGCGGTGAGCAAATGTTACCCTTTATTTCTTTGTATGCGGAGACTTTCAAAACATGCGGTGTGTGGGGGCAGGGGCTGTTTTGTTTTTATGGTAGAGGAAGCTAGGAAGGAAGCAAACTGATTTTATTTACCGATCATCTTATTGTAAGGAAAAGCAAGACCTGCAACAGTCCCTTCAATGCTGACTTGGCACCTTTATTCAATTTTATTTAGATCCAAAAGATGAATCTGGATTTGACATCTTGGCGAATCCTCCTGGGCCAGGTGATGAAGATGAAGATGGCTAGAGCCTCCCTTACCGTGTTACAACATTCAAGTGTGTCTCTCTCAGGGGTAAGAAAAATACAGGGTTTGGGGTAAAAATAGCTGAGATTATCTGCTTGGGATGGCCACAGTTTTTGTTTATGGGGAAAAGTATTTGCATTTCTCTAATGTAAATGAGAGAACAATACTGTAACTGCTGGGCTTTTTAGAAAGAAGCTAATAGGAGGTGAGAGGGGAAAAGGCTGACTTGTCAGGGCTGTGTTTTGAGTGCTGTACTCTTGAGCTGAATGAATTATGTTGAACACAGATGCCTTCCCTCATCCGAGGCAGGCACCTTGATAGAACATCCAAAAACACAAGCGCTTCTAGCACTTAAATTTGGATATCATATTTGTAAGATGTTCTTAATTTTATTCAACCAGCTTTTCCATTTTGCTGAGTGGACACACTTCTGCAGATGACAAAGTGACACCATTACTGTTGTTCTAGACTCTGCAGCAAAACTGGTTTAAATTAAAAAACTTCTTAAACTGAGAAAAACCCCTCTGTTGACTTGTATTTAATATGGGCATCTCTGAAAGTCAGGGGTGCTGAAATCTCTGATTATAACTCTAGGCTGTCTCCTAACTTGCTAAATGGGAGTCGGGCTCAGACAGGTGAAGTTTTAATCATGTGAGCAGCTGTCGGGATGGCTGCTGACCCACGTGTGTGCTCAGGAGCCCTTGGTTTATAGGCTCCAGTGCCCCTGCGTGCCTGCTCCCCCTCCTTCCCCAATGCCGCGGTATTATGAGTAAATACATCTGCGCGTGCACATCTGTTATATTCAACCTCCTGGGCAACGGCCCTGATTTCAGGGGGGTTGTTTGTGTGGGAGGGTTTGTCACACAGTGATGTGGTGAAGAGTCAAGAAGCCTGTGACTTAATGTTGGTTATTGGAGCCTGTTTCTCCTTCACTTCCACAGACCACGGAACTGGCTTTTGCTCTCAGACGTGGTGAAGAGGCTAAAAATGTCATCTCGCATCTTCCGCTGCAACTTCCCCAATTTGGAAGTTGTCACCATCACGGAGGCAGAGTTTTACAAACAGACTTCCCTCAGCCAGTTGTTCTCTTGCCCTACGGACCTTGAAGCTTTTAACCCGGAGAGCAAAGAGCTCTTGGACTTGGTAGAGTTTACAAGCGAACTCAAGACTTTGCTCGGCTCCACGCTTCACTGGTTGCATCCGCACGAGGACCCTCCCTTCGACATCCTCTGGTGAACCATCAGGCCATTTAATGTACAGTGCTCTATACAGTTACTTCTTTATGTATATGTGTTCAAATGCAATTGTTTCTGTAAAGAAAGGACACTATTAAATATGAAAATATCTTTCCTTTATATAAGAGATCTGAATTCCAGTTGGATGGATTTTGGAAGAATTTTTTTTTAACTTCAATCAGTTTTTACTAAATTGTTATATAATGTTTCTTTAAATGCACACAGGCTTTGGGATAAGTTTGTTATTACTCGGAACACATTTTTTTTTTAAAGAACACACCCACACATTGACTTTGTTTCATACAAAGCACTGATTACACAGAACGTACTTTTTTCTAGGTGATGTGATCAAAGTCGTGTGGCTTGTTTGGGAGACAGAATTCAGTAAGGCACTTGGTGATATTATTTTTGTTTTTTTGTTTACAGAATTACCTGCTTTGGCCAGGTAAGCACTATTGAATATGATTCAATAGTTTGTAATATAAATTAAACCATATCCATATGCATCAACTAATTGTAAGAACTTTTATATCCTAATTTAAAAGCTGTGAAATTTAGTTTTCACACATCAAACCGGATTGTTTATATATGTTTAAACATTTTATGCTCTTTATTTAAAGAAGACTTTGAACTATTTTTTCTGTACCTTGTAAAATATTGAAAAACTAACATATGTTGAAGTTGCTTGAAACTGTACATAAACTAAATTTTCTGAATTGTGTGTTTATGTTTGAGATCTGTGTTTTAACTTTGTAAGTAAATCTCCTGCCTTTGTATTTATATTTTACAAAAATTTTCTTAAAGGCAATAAAACTGTTGAGAAATGAAGAGGCTAAAGTGACTCCCATTAATTCCATGGCTGGTTGCAAAATGAGCTCCAACTCATTAATGTTTATGGGAGGAGGCTCCGTGAGCAGTTCCCGAAGCGGAGCAGAGCTGGCACAGGTGCCGGTGAGCAGCTCATGAAATCTGAGGTAGAATCTGCATTGGCTTTCTAAATGCAAGATTACAAGAAAATATTGGGCAGGTGCCTTATGTGGGACAAGAGGTTTAAAACTGGTATTCACAATGCATTCTGCATTGCATTTTAGTTAAACAATTTGAATAGGTTCAATTACTTTTCCTCCTTTGTCATTGTTTTAAGTTGAATTGACTGAATTATCTTTCCAGTGGTGTCTGCAGAGGGGAGGAAAATATTGCCAGGGTAAATGCTTTAGTTTTAATGGGGAATGTTAAGGTTGTGAGCACCCTTTGGGTGAATCTGAAGGGACAGTGAACAGAATGTCACTTTTACACAGCTTTGGGAGGCTGGCCTCCCAGGGCTTGGGCAGCCCTCTCTTAAGGGTCTGGGTCTGCCTTTCTACTGTGGAAAGAAGTTCCCACTGGGAACCCAAAGTCTGAGTTTTGCTTTGGGGCTGGTTTTTTTAACAGCAGTGTGTCCTGTGATAGCCAAGTGCTTCAGCTGAGACGTTTAAGTTGCACTGCTCTTCTGATGAGGGCTAGGACACCCACCAAAAGGGTCTGGAGCAGAGCACCCGGTCCATCTGAGAAAAACATCTAGGGGAAGGTTGCTCACCGTCTGGAGCAGTAAAACTCAGAGGTTTTGATTAATGTAAAGTGTATTGCAGTTTAAATCTTTGCTTTTGGGGGAGCTTAAGAAATGGTGTGAATTACCCTTGTCCTGAAGGTAAGGGAGAAGGACACCTCATTCCTGAAGGTGCCCCAGAGGAAAAATGCAGAGCTGATGCCTCTCCTAGTGTGTTGCCCTTGAGTCTTTTGCCAAACATTTGTACTGTGTGGTTTATGGTGAGACTGCTTCTGGGGGTAAGGTGGTTTTGTAGCTTGAAGCGAAAGAGCGGTCCGTCAGCTCTGTGCTGCTGGCAGCTGAAGTCCTGTCTCCCTACAGGGTAGGGAATTTTTGGTCCTAACGCAGCCACCAACATCTTTCTCCAGACTGTGAATAAGGATGATGATGCTCTCTGCTGTACAGCACCCATGTGCACCCTGGGTTTACTTTTAAGCCAGCCTGCAGCCTTGGAAGGAACTGAAACACAGACATCCCTACTCTCCAGTGCCAGCTGCTTTTAACCCCTGCTTTTCCCAGAGGTGGGTCAGAAAAACTAAGGCAAAGGAGAACATTAAGAGCAATTGTTGCAGACACCTTTATCTGATCAGCTGCGTAACTCTTGGATGGTTTGAGCTGAGCATAAATCAGCTTCGTACCACTTACAGGGGTGCATGACAGACACCTCACTTCTCGCTGTGCCCCACAGGCAAACAGAAAATTGACTTTTGGCCAGCTCCTCCTCAAATGATCTTGAGCACGTGCTCCCCAAACTTAGTCAGCTTTCCAGTATCTCCACCGAGTACAGTTGGGCTTTCTCGCTTGCATCAGTGCTCAAATACAGTAACAGCCTCACGCTGTTGTAATGCAAAGCGTGTGCCTGCCCCAGGGCCTGTCTGTGCTCTAAAAATAGGGCCCTGGCGGGGAACACCTGATCGCAGTGCTGTCCCTTGATGTAACACAACCATTTAATCTTCTAGGATGTACTTTTTTAAAAGAGACTTTACGGTGTGAGGGTGCTTGAGAGAACAGGAGGGCCCCCAG